TATATATATATATATTAAATAAATGTTACATTTCAGTTTACGAGAGAGGAGATGTTCCGACCTGGATCACAGCCTTGATGCTGTGTAGTGAAAGGTCTCCTTGGTCTTTAATCCTGAGGAGCACATCAACCAAATCTTCCTCCACGTCTCCTGCTCCGCCCGCCTTCTTTCTCTGGTGCTGCTTAATTATGCCGTCCGTGATCTTTTCGAACTCCCGTCGGATCCTATTCAACCTGAAGCTGGTGCCGGTGACAACATCTACGAACTTCAACTTGGGGAAGGAATCAGCGAAGCTAAACCTGGACAGTGATAACAACGCCTCCTTGACGAGTGGCAGCAGCAGATTGTTCTGCTGGTGCTCGAATCTCTTGCCAACCACTGCCGCAGAAATGATGTCGCCGATCACCGTCATGAACTTGTCGCTGAGGTTGATGGGGACTGCCGGGGGCGTCATGGAGACGTCCCTCAGTAAGCGGAGGATGGCGTCCTCCCTGGCCGAGGCCAAGGACTTGACGCACTTCATGCTGAATAGCTCCGTGGCGCAGATCTTCCTCAGGTGTCTCCAGTAGCTCCCGTACGGGGAGAAGGCCACGTCCACGCAGCCGTAGGTGATGACTTTGGCGGCGGCGAGCGCAGGGCGGTCGGCGAAGTTGGCGTCCTGGGTCTTCAGGACCTCTTCGGCGGCCTCGCGGGAGGAGACGACCACCACGTCGACCTGGCCGACGCGGACGAGCACGAGGGGCCCGTGCTGGGCGGCAAGGTCACGCAGCGCCTGGTGGGTGGGCTTTCCGACGATGTGGTGGATGTGGCCAATGACGGGCAGCCCCCGTGGGCTGGGAGGGAGAGGAGGTTCATGGTTCGGCTGGAACTCGGAGATGGATCTCCTCCTGAGCGCCACCAGGAGGAGGAACGCGAAAGGCAGCAGTGGGAGGAGAGCAGCAATTCCGAGATCCATGTGTCGATGGGTTCACCGAAGCCAGCCAGCTTGTGCGCGCAGTACTTGTAGGCGGAACAGCCGCACTCATCATCTGTGCGATGCATACTCGAGGATATGAATGAGTTGCTTAGCTATCTATACACACTCAAGTTATACATATTCAGTATGGAGAATTTTTCTTAACTGCTTAGAGATTTCCTCAACTGTCTTGAGGAAATCTTATCTGCTTATCATGCCCATGCAAGATTGAGCTTCCATCAAGAATGTCGATCTTGGACCGATGAGATGAAAAAAGTTTACTGGCGAGAGGCTTTGTGAGTGAGTCTGCTAGTTGATCAGTTGTATGTACATGAGAAACACGGAGTTGATGTCTGACAACTTGATCTCGCACGAAATGGAAGTCAATGGCTATGTGTTTCATGCGAGAATGGAACACTGGATCCATCCGGGTTCCGCTTAATTCGAAAGACCCATTTACACCTAATGATATTTTGTGTGTGATGAAATGGTACTAAGGTCCATGTAGAGTTATGGAGGAGAGCATCATATTCGTCACACATGGCTTTACGCTAGTGAGAAGATTTTTAAGCTTGAGTGATTGTAGTGGGTTCACTGGCCTCAGTGGAGGAACTTGTTATAGCATGTAAGTCAAGGACTTGACGTGATTTGACATTACCACTTTTGGAGCGTGTTGTCATTGGATGTCTAGTGGGGATAGAAGTGATAGATTGTGTTGGTGGTATAGCCGAGGGTGAGTCACTGTCATGGACCGAGCCAACCGTCGGCATGACAATGTCACTAGGTCTAGGAGAAGGTAAAGCCAGTGGCAATGTTGCCGAGGGTATTACTTCATTAATAGGGGAAACTTGTGAGGAAGGGAGTGGAGAAATAGAGGGAGTGAGAAGCTGTTGAACTGGAGTATAGTAGTATGTGGATCTTGAGGGTAAGGATTGGATGGTGTCATTGGAGGTTCGTGTGATGAGATCGGAGGGATATTCCAGTGATGCATATTTATCGAAGTAGCTTGTATGGTAGGATTATTTTGAAAATGAAAGACAGACTCCTCAAAAATAATGTAACGTGATATAAAGACTTTTTTAGTTTGGGGTTCATAGCATCGAAAAGCATTATGTTCAAGAAAGTAGCCTATAAAAGTGCAAGGCTTAGATCATGGTGTTAGCTTATGTGACGCATAAGGACGGAGCCATGGATAACATAAATAGCAAAAAACTTTGAGTTTATGAAGGTTTGGAAGCTTGTAGAATAATTTTTCAAATGGTGACTGGTATTGTAAGACTGGAGTGAGCATACGATTAATGAGATAAACTGCAGTTTAAAAAGCTACTGACCAAAAAGGTGGTGGCATAGATGCTTGATGTAGAAGGGAGAGACCAGTTTCAACGATATGCCGATGTTTGCGTTCGGCAGAGCCAACCAATTGGGGAGTATGTGGGGGTGACTTGAGGTGTTGTATACCACAAGCAAAGAGACAGGATGCGAGGGCTTAATATTCGCCTCCGCCATCAGAGTAAACTGTTTTAATGGAAGATTGAAAAAAATTCTCGACCAACTTTCGAAAGTTGGTAAATACTATGGAAACATCAGACTTATGGTGGAGAGGATATAACCATGTGTACTTAGTAAAATAGTCTACAAAATTGACATAAAAGCGAAACTTGTCAAAAGAAGAAATTGGGGCATGGCCCCACACGTCGGTATAAATGATTTCAAATGGTTTAGAGCAAGAAATGGAGGTTGTCCTAAAAGGCAGTTTATGACTTTTATTGCAAAGACAAGCATCGCAATGATTGACAGTGCTATTGATTTTCAAGGTAGGATGAGAATAACGAGAAAGTAATTTTTGCTGGATAAAAGGGGAGGGATGATCAAGACGATGATGCCATACATCAACCGGAGCTGCGACTGAAGAGTGAGCAGTAGGAAGGGTAATTTGTGAAGCGGATGGCCACTCATAAATGTTGTCTTTGTTCTGGCCCTGGACCAAGGATGCCCCCGTGCTCAAATCCTTGACGAGAAAAAAGTTAGGAAAGAATTCAATTGAGGTATTATTTTGTTTACAGAATTGAGAAACGGAAATGAGGTTTCTTTTAATGTTAGGTGCACACAGAACATCATCGAGTGTAAAAGTTGTGGTAAGTGAACTAAGCGTTGAGGAACTAGAATGAGTAATAGGAATTCTTTTACCGTCACCGATGATGATATCTTCATTTCCATCATAGTTATTGTGGATGGACAAGTTTTAAAAATTAGAGGTGATGTGATGAGAGGCGCCCGAGTCCACAATCCAATTAGGTTATGTAGGAGTTGGAGTAGCCATAAAATTCGCTTGAGGCCACTGTGATAGAGCAGGGAGTCTGGGGCGAGACCGATAGACTTTCGCGGAGTGTCTGACTTTATCACATAGTTGGCAAACGACTCGTTGGTGGCTTGTGAAGTCAGGACGTGACGGCTGAGGATTATGAAAGTTACCACCTTGATATGGATAAGGGGGGTTTGGTCTGGCCCCATAGGGCTAGGAGGCAACTTAGCCAAATCGTTGTTGACGTGCTTATTATACTAGTTGCTCTTTCTCTTGGATTTTTGATTGACCTAAGCTATAATAGGTGGTCTGGGCAACCTATCATCACGCTTCAAGTACGTCTCATAGTCGATCAACTTATCATAAAGTTCTTCGAATGATATTGGTGAGTCGCGTGCCCGAAGTGCTGCTGTCAGTTCTTTGTACTCGCCTCCTAGGCCATTGAGGGTATGGATTAGGACTTTTCATCACTGAGTTGTGCCCGTCAAGATGCGTATTTGCCGCCTTTGGATAATTTGAAGGGAATGAGTGCTGTAGCATTGATGGTGATAAGACTTTGAGAAGTGCTCAGAGTCCCTGCAGAAACAAGGACAGGAATATCGGAAGAGGAAAATGAAGACATCCCAGATATTTTGTGGCGGTTTAAGTGATCTTTACAAAAGATGTAAAGAAATAGGAGGGAGAGAGGAGGAGAAAAGCAGATCGATGCATTGCAAAGAAGGCTGCAATGATGAACTGTAGAGGAGGCTGCAGCGATATTGCAGAGGAGGCTACAGCGATGCACTGTAGAGGAGGCTGCAGCGATGCACTATAGAGGAAAAGAAAGAAAAAAAAAATCTGCAGCAGTTATAGTTGCAGAGAAATTACTGCGGCAAAGGGAAGCGGCTGCAGATGGAAGCTGTAAAATCTGCAATCATTCCTATTGCCGCAAGAAGACAGTGATGGCTGTGGTGGTAAGGATGACGGCAGCAGCACTTCTCGCTCGAGTGAGATGTGGGAACGAGGAGGAGAGGTCATTGGCCGAGGAGTAGTTGCAAGGACGATGGCCACCACGGTAGTGTAGGCCAGGTTCTTGTGAGGGTAGGAGGTGGCCATCAGCTTGGCTGCATTATTGTGCATGCATCCATGGATTCCCGTGCACAATAAGCAATAGCTTTCAAAGATTTGACATGGAACTTACAAACAAGCACCGTTATATATCAACAATGAGTCTCAAACAAACTAGTTAACATACATACATACATACATTAGAGTCAAACAAATAAAATAAAATAAAACAATTAAGCACACAAACTTTAAAGAGGATGTGATATCTTATATTGATCCCCCAAGAATCTGTTATTATAAGCCAAATTATTATAGTTTTTAATATATATAAATTATTATAAGCCAAGCACCATAAGTAATCTGAGAGGTGTAAGCATACAAACCATGTTATATTATGTTACGCAGAAAAATTTTAATGTCAAGATTGAAATCAAATAACAATAGATCATATTTACGATGCGTAGCTTTCGATGTCATTTGGAAAGAACTTTATCTGATTTACAGAGACATCGTCTTCGAATCTGAAAACCACAATGATATCGATCTACAAGGAGAATTATATTCGTCTTGTCTCTTTCTATCCTTTCGTGATACCACTTAGATCATAATAACCATCACATATCCTCGTCTCGTGTCCATCAATTCAACTGCTCTAATCCAACTCTCTTGACTTTTATCAACATGAAACTATTTTCATAATCTTTTCTTCGGTCATCAAGAAGTGTAGCTGAATGATAAGTGCCTTGTGATAAATGCATGTATATCAAGAAGTGTTGAAAAAGTTTACGGTGTTGAGGAAACCAAGTAGTCAAAATCTTCGCACGTCACCATACTTTCTTTAATTTGGAAAAAGAAAAGCTACTATGATTTCCACAATTCTTAACGATTAAACAGTGCGACTTGGATGTGACATGGAAGGTCGACTGAGACGTGAATCACATGTCACAAACTTGAAAGAGGATGCCGTGTCTTGTATCGATCCCGCAAGAGAATCTTCACTTGAAACAAAAACTTTTTTAGTTTTTAATATATGCAGATTATTATAAGCCAAACACCATAAGTAATTTGAGAGGAATAAGCATAAAATCTATAATATGCTATATTATATTACGTATATATCATATTAGGATTTAATATTAGGATTGAAATCAAATAATAATATATCATATTTATGACGATATCATTTAGAAAGAATTTTATCTATTTACAAAGGCACCGTCTTCGAATCCAAAAACTATAATAATATCGATTTACAAAGAAAATTAGATTTATAAGATATTTTATTAATAAGATAGGATCATATAATCTAACAAGTGATAGAACTTTATAAATAGATATTATATATATATATAATATTTTATCCTTGAAATGTCTTTATAGATAGATATTGCGTAAATAATAGCAAGGGGGAGATCTTGTTGGGTTACAAATAGGCAATCTAATATTTCAAATTTTCATTGCACAATAAAGTAGAAAGGAAGAGCCTTGTGATTATAAACCTTGGCGTCGTTTTTACTAAGCCACAACATCGAAAGAGAGTTAGATGAAATCGAATATGATTTAGGTTGTTGCTATGTCCTTTGGATGTCAACTTGTGACCTCCACAAAAAGCTATACCAGACCAGAAAATACCATTTGCGATCGAAAGCCAATAAGGATCTGAAACTTTGTACGTCTATCTTAATTTGGTGTGCATTTCGAT